GGGCCGCCCGCCCTCCACGCCTTCACCCAGCACCCAGCGCGCGGCGAGAGGCAAAGTTTGGCTCCCGCCGTTAGGCCCGAACTTTCCCGCCCGTGCGTGCAGGTTTCCGCCGTTTCCCACTCGCCGGGCCCCCAGACTCCGGCACCCCCCAGAAATGACTTACTCCGGCTGCTCCCGCAGCGCCTGGGTCTCCGCGGCAGCCATCTTGAACTTACTGACTCCGCGGCGGCGGCGGCACCCGGGACCGTATAGCCTACTGGAAGTGGAGGAAGGAGGGAAAGCAGCCGTGGCGCATGTGCACAACGCGCAGGAAAAGTGATGATCTGAGTCCGCGTTGAGAATCCGGAAGTTAAAAAAAAACTTACTTCCGCGACAGGACGCAGGGCGTCATGATGTGACTTCCGGGGCGGATATTAAGGGCAAGTGGCCCTCCTGTTTTACGGTCTGGTGAGTTAGGATTGAGTCTTTAAGAACAGTAGCAACAACAAAAGCATCGAACACTTAGATCACAGAGCTTGCCAGGGAGGGTAGTAAAGGCAAAAGGATGTTCATAATTTGTGTAGTTTCGAGGGCTAGTTCGCTATGGGGCCTAGAATGTAGGGGAAAATGGGATGTTCCTGATTCTCTTCGTTGTTGCTGATTGGTTGTGGAGAGCTCATAGGCCGGTTTTGATGCCTTCCACCTTGATATTGTCTCCAGATTCCTACTGATCTACCGCTCTTCGTAGTAGACTTTATGAGGAGATTACGCATTCTTATTGTGGAAAGGAATAAGTGAGGTGGAGGAGACTAGGCACTCATTATTCAGGCTTGATGTCATTGTGATTGAAGGCCAAGGAAATCCTTGCAAAACAAGTTTGAAAAAAGCATAGTAAATTACGGCAGCGGCACACGCCTGTAATCCTAGCACTCTAGGGGCTGAGGCAGGAGGATCGCAAGTTTGAGTCCACATTGGGCAATTTAGCAATTTGGCGAGACCTTGTCTCAAAGAGGGGGCTGAAGTATAGCTCGGGGCGAAATCCTTGACTTTAATCCTCGGTATCGCCAAAAAAAAAAAAATTAAAAATGTGTCGCCAAGTTCACTTGGGCAATATTCCCAGTTAGGGAAGTGAAATACGAAATTTTCAGAGACTACTCAAAATTATGTGGCTGTGCAACAATTTTGAGGCAGTGGGGTTTCTTGAAGGCGGAGTTAAAAGGAAGTCAAACACCACCTTTATGAATTTAATCATTAACCAAACGTTTACGGAGTGAACTGCATTTTAAAGCTTTTCCTCCACTCAGGAACTTGGTACCGGAACCTCGCCCCAGGAGGGCTAGCGTTTCGGGGGACCTTTGCGGAAGGGACTCCTTGGGGGCGGGGCTACCCCCGGAAGTGTAGGAGGAGTATTTTCCCCCCGCCAGGCGGGTCCCAGCCTGGTCGGCCCACTTTTCAGAGTCCTGTTTTCTTGTCCCGCCGCCTGATCAGGGCGTCTCCGCGGACCTCAGCCCGGAGCTCTCCTCCCTCGGTCCTGAGCTGCGCGCTCGGCGGTGGAGCGAGTAGAGGCGAGAGCCAGGACCTCGCGTCGCCGTTCTGCTCTGCCCGGTTCCCCGATCGGACCCCTCCGTCGCCGCGATCCGTCAGCCGAGGTCGCCGGCTTTGAGGACCCAGACCGAGGGACCTGGCCCTTGGCGCCCCGCCTGCGACAAACAGTCCAAAAATATGTGGCCCGGAGATAAGGTTTTGGAGATAAGCATGCATTTTTGAAACACCTCGATTTTTGTTTTGAAATATTGTCCCTGCTTTCTTTTAGTCATTATTCCAGACAAGTTACAGACACGTTCCAGAAATACATATTTTTAATTCTGTACCTTCCCTGGGAAGGAATTAAAGTTGGGCCTGCTAAAGCTGTGCCAGTATCCGTCCCATTGAGCTCTCGATAGACTCCTTGTAACAGACTACGAACAAAACTAACGAGGATCAAAAATCCTTTAAAGAAATGGGTTGGGCCAGGCGGTATCCAAATGCCCAAAATGTACGTAAATCACTTTTTAGGTAACACTGAAAGCTTCATCTAGTTTAAGACCTAGACTTGAAATTTGGAGGTATTTGGGGAAAATAGCCACTAGACTGTTTTTATTACAAAACATTAACGTTTCCTTTTATTCCATGAGAGGGTAGTTTAGTTTTGTTTGTCCTGAAGCAGTTGTAGTGCATTTATAAAAATCAGGCAACTAAAGTGAAAGAAAGCAAAAGCCACCCTTCTTATTCATACTGAACCGAACTTAACATGTCAGCTTCTCTTGGCCCCTTTCCACATGTAGACTGTGGTTGTTGGCTTTTTAATATAACGTCTCAAATTTTTATATGATTGTAGTTTCAGCAAACTTTTAAAGCTTTTGCTATCAAGTATTTTAGTTCTTTTATTAGGTACATACATGCTTTCAAGTTATGTGTTCCTAGTGGGTTCTTTTATCATTATAAAACATTCCTGTGTTTCTCTAATAACTTTATTTAAAACCTACTTTGTCTAATATTAGTACAGCCATTTCTGCTTTCTTGTAGTTACATATTGTCTGATAGTCTGTGCCTTTTGCTTTAATCCAATCATTTTATTTATATAGTTGGACATGTATGCTATCTAGTTTTTGTTTTCTATATGTCTTTAAGTCTTTTGGTTCTGTTAGCCCTCTTTTACTGCTTCATTTTGCTTCCAATGACTTTTCTAATTAGCATTTTGATTCCTTTAATGGTTTTCTTTACTTCTCCCTTCCCCTTCTTCCTCTTCTTTTTTGTTATTTCCTTAGTGGTGGAGGTAGAGCTCATGATATACTTTTTAACTTATTAGAATCAGTTTCAGATTTGTACTAACTTAATTCCGGTTAAGACACAGAAACCTTTCTCCCATGCAATTTTACTTTATTTCCTGATCTAGAGGATTATAAATGTTACATTTATTACTTTGTGTCTTTTAAAGATGAAAGAATAAAAGAAACAAGTTTATATTTATATATACTTTTGGTTAAAGTAACCTTAGCCATTTTGACTTCATTTATTCTTGTGGATTCAAGTTAGTTTTTTTTGGAGGGATACAGCTAAAATCTGCTTTCTTAGCAAATTGCAAGTCTTGCAGTTTACATTTACAAAACATTGCCTTGTACATTGCTATAACTGCAAGTCTGTACCTTTTATCCAACACGTCTGCATTTACCACCTGCTCCTAGATGCAGGCAACCATCATTCTCTGTTACTTTACTGTGAGTTCTTTTTGGATTCCACATGTAAGTGAGATCCTGTGGTATTTTTCTTTGTCTGGCTTATTTTTGGCAGCTTCTTGTCTTCTGGGTGTTACCACAAATGACAAGGTTTCTTTTTTAGGGCTAATATTCTAGTGTGTCCATATACTATTATATTTTCTGTATTCCTCTATTGATGGACAGTTAGGTTGAATTCACATCTTAACTGTTGTGAATAATGCTGCAATGAACATGGACATGCTTTTTAGTATACTGATTTTATTTCATTTGAATATATGCCCAGAAGTGCAAATGCTGGATCGTAAGGTAGTTTTTTTTTTTTTTTTTTTTTTTTTTTTTTGGTACCAGGGATTGAACTCAGGTCCTTGCACTTGCAAGGCAGGCCACCTAACCACTGAGCTAAATCGCTGGCCCAAGGTAGTTCTATTTTTAAGTTTTTGAGGAACCTCCAGGTGCCTTTCCATAATGGCTATACAACTTCACATATCCACCAACAGCATAAAAGAGTTACCTCACTAAACTGGTGTTTTCACCTTTTGATAATAGCCATCCACACAGGTGTGAGGTGCTATCTCTCTGGATTTGATTAGCAGTTCCCCAATGAGCAGTCATTTTGAGCACCTTGTGATAATATTGTTTAGTCATTTATATGTCATCAATGGGGAGAAGTCTGTTCAGGTCTTCTGCCCATTTTTAATTGTTATGTATTTATTTCTGTATTTTAGATACTAACCCCTTATCGTGTGTATGGTTTGCCAGTAATTTCTCCCATGGGTTGTATTTTTATTCCCTTGATCATTCCTTTGCTGCATAGCAGCTTTTCAGTTTGGTGCAGTCCCACTTGTCTGGTTTTGCTTTTGCCTTATAAAAAAAAAATTCTCCAAGACCAATGTATTCGTATTTTCTTTAAGGAATTTTACAGTTTCATATCTTTAGTCCATTTTGAGTTGATATTGTGTATAACGATCCAGTTTCACTTTTTTACATATGGATACCCAACCTCCCAACACCGTGTGTTGAAGACACTGTTCTTTTTCCAGTGTATGTTTTGGTCAACTTTGTGGAGGATTAGCCAGCCAAATGAGGGTGGACTGACTTCTGAGTGTTTTGTTTTTTCCTGCTGGCATATATGTTTGTTACTATGTAAATAGTGTCACATTTTCATTACTATTGCTTTGTAATATAATTGAAATCAGGAAGTGTGATACCTTCAGTATTGTACTTGTTTAAGATTCCTTTAGATATTCTGGGTCTTTTGTGGCTTCATATGAACTTTAGGGTTTTTTTTCTATTTCTGTGAAAAATCTCATTAGAATTTTAATAGTGATTGTATTAAATCTATAGTTACTTTGAGTAGTATAGATTTTTTTTTTTTTTTTTTTTTTTTTTTTTTTACTGGGGGATTGAATTTAGGTCCTTGTGCTTGCAAGGCAGGTGGTGGCACCACTGAGCTAAACCTCCGGGCCAAGTATAGACTTTTTGACCTTATTGAGCTTTTTAATCCTGAACAGGAACTATCTTCCCATTTATTGATGTCTTCAATTGGTTTCATCATTATATTACAATTTTTAGTGTACAGATCTTTTTTCTCTTTGGTTAAAGTTTTTCCTAAGTACTTTATTCTTTGTGATGCTATAGCAAGTGGCATTTGTCTCGTAGTTTATCTTTTAGATTTTTTTATTACTAGTATCTACCAGCTGATTTTTGTGTTTATTTTGTATCATGCAACTTTACTGAATTCCTTTATTCTAACAGCTTTTTTGGGTGGAGTCTCAGGGTTTCTTTTGTGTAAAATCTTGTCACATGCATATAGAACCACTTTTACTTTTTCATTTCTGGTTTAGATGCTTTTATTTCTTTTCCTTGCCTAACTGCTCCAACTAGAGTTTCTAGTGCCGTGGTGAATAGAAGTGGCTCATGTGGGTATCGTTATCTGGTCTGTCCTCACTTCCATGTATGTAAATAGGAGCTGTGGGGACCATCCAGCTCATTACACCCACCCTCTGTGTGCAGCCTCACGTAGAATCACACCATCTGTGCACATCACCGTACTGTGTGAAGTCTACGGGACCCATGAATATTTCTGAAGC